TGGTAGGTTGGAGGCCATCGCTCGTAGGTTGGAGGCCATCGCTAGTAACCATTGCTGGTAGGTTGGAGGCCAAAGCTAGTAGTTGATTCAATAAAAGCCTGAAGGACTGAAGGCTTCTGAAGGACCCTCTGGGAGGACCCCTGGGCACATCTGGGGACTTTGTCGCCAAGCCTTGCCGCTGGCTTTGCGTTCGCTTTTGCCTCTCAAAGCCAGCCGGGCCTCACGTCCAGCTCACGAGTTAATGGATTTATCGTCCAACCCACTGACTCTACTTCTGTAAATTCATGTAAATTCTACACAAGCAGTCTGAAGAACCAGTGCCAATCAATTCGGGATCTTGTCTTGCCTGCTCCAGTGCAAAAGATTCCACCAAATCCAGGCTCAGCGAATAGCACTGGCGTCAAGTTGGAATGATAAATGGTCTGCTTGAAACACTTGTGCACAACGTAGCACTACAATGCACTACATAGTTACTTGTTGTATGTGAGTCCGGCATCATGTAGCACAGATCTGTTTTCTCCAAGGCATTTTGCAGTGATCAAATCTTGTCGAGTCAGGTCTCGATGCATCACGAAAGCCTCAACGGTACGGACCTTAATTTGGGTTCGAACGATGCGGAGAAAACAGCTATGCAAAAACTGCAGTAGATTGCCCTGGGAAGAGGAGAGAATGATAGAGAATGAGAGAGCACACTTAGTGACTTAGTCTTGAAGTGAACACCGCTACGAGTATGTCGCCCAGGACTAATGGTTTGCCCCCACGGACTTTGAGGAAGCAGCAAATTCCGTGTAAATGACAATACGAAAAGGACTTTAGGCTTTTGACACCTTTTGAAGCTTTGTCATGCTTTTTGGCGATTCGATCAGAGAGATATAGAGAGATATATACTATAACTTTGCCCTCTTTAAATAGTCCAACAATCCAGCAATAATGATGAAGTTCTCAGCGGTTCCATGCAACTAACAGCGCAAACCTTAAACCGATAATCCTGATAGTCCCTTATAGTCGGGTGGCGGTCGGCAAACCATGCGTCGCCCCAAGATGTATTAGTACTACTGCACCTCAGCCTCAGAAGCAGTGAATGCAAACAATCATGTTGTTTTCATCGCTATTAGGTTGGAGGCCATCGCTATTAGGTTGGAGGACATCGCTAGTAGGTTGGAGGCCATCGCTATTAGGAGGAGGCCATCGTGAGTAGGTACGGTACTAGTAGGTTGTTTGTATTTCTTTTCTTCTTCTTCACTTCTTCCGTCACTGCCGTCGCGTCACTTTAACCTTGGTCACTGTCACCCTGTGTCACCGCCGCGCTGTGCGACCCGTCGAACAGAATGTCGGTGGATGACATCTGTTTGAATCATTCAAGCAAGCGGCCGACCAGAACCACCAGAACGTCCAGAACCAGCACCACCAGCACTCTTGGCCTTCCCTTGTTGAGTCTGTCTTATAGCCATCCGGAAGCTGAAGCAGTTTAAGGCTTCGATTTGCCCTGCCACATTCAGAATCAATTGCTGAAAAGGCCTTTTAGAATCAAATGGGCTGCCCGCCATGCTTCGCCTGGGAGGAGAAGATGTGCTGGTTCATGGTACGCATAGCCACATCCTGGAAGTGGCCAAAGTTGTCTACGAGGCAAACTCCCTGATCAATAGAAGGCATTCCAGGGAGTCCTTCTCAGAAGGGGCACCTAGGAAAGTCACTGAATCCTCTGAAAGATTTTCCTGAACTGAGAAAGTACCGAGAGATGCAAGGATCAAAGTCTCGCAAAATCGGGCACGGTATGTGCGGTGAAAGTAATGTAACAACTCACAATCAATGTCCTGCAAATCAGGAATGTCGCCCTTCTCTGAAAAGAGCTGCTTCACCACAGGCGTGGAAGGGTCTCGATACATGTGAACCTAAGGTCTGCCAACTACAGTACGAAGCCATGCATAGAGCCTGAATGCGGCCATGCTGCGGAATCCAAGGGGCAGGTCGCCATCATGTTCAATGCATTGTAGCTGCAAAGCACGAAAACGGCCTAGATTATGATGACAGAAGCAGGTGGAGATTCTACTTCCCAATCCAACGAACCTTAGACTTCTACATGGTGCCAAGTGACCAAAGGAATCAAGTAGATGGGGAGTGCCACAGCCCACCACTTGTCTGGGTAGTAGGTGATACCCCAACTGTGCAACCTGAGTCTGTTGGTCCGAACACGACTGCTTTCTCGCCAAGCTTAATTTTCCTTCTATCTGCTCCAAGCAGCATCTCTTCCGGGACAAAGACCCACAGCAGCCACACCTTAAACATAGTCTTGTTGTTGCGAGGGCGGTCACTTCTTGGAAAACTCAGTTGCGTGCGCAAACGAAAAAGTCTGCAGTGCAGACAAGAAGCACATAGCGCCAAGTGTGAAACCAAGAAGCTAGCAAAACTGTAAACCTGCCCACTCGTCATGTTTACAAACTCGGAGAGACATCTTCCAGAATGCTCGCCCAAAGTAGATCTTGCAACATTACATTTTGATTCAAGTGGATAGTTTTAACAAAACTGGCTCCACAATCTATTTTCCACTACGTACTTCCCCGCCTCAGTCCGCAAGCGATCAGAGTCCATGTGCAACAATCTACGGTTCTCTTTGGGTAGCAGTACTTGCATGTTGAAGAGCTTCGAGGTAACTTTCCAACCCTTCAGCATCCTTTTCAGACTTTAGGATACACACAATTGTGCGACGTGAGTCGTGATGATTTTCTTAAATTCAACTTTATCACCCTACGCTGAAACATGTTTGAAACTTAATGCCATGTAGTCTGGAAGCTGAGTTGCACGCAGCACACAACATGCATAAACACAGTGACAAAGCAAGCATACAATTACATACAAATACCAACTCTGAGACTGTTGATGTCTTGAGTCGAGCCCGCCTTCAGGGTCATGTCCACCTGTCATTGCTTGATGCAGCTCAAGAATGGTGGCAAGTGATCTGAACCAACCGTTTTAAGTTCGAATCGTCTTGCAAACCGACATGTACGGCAAACTTGGGATAAGGACCCAGCAGATATTGGTGCTTCAAGTTGTCAAAAATCCTAGGTACAAAGGCAACCCTCAATGTCCAACATAGCCTCGCCCGTGACAATCGTCGAGAAGTTGGGACAAAAAGTCATGGCAGACACCATAGACCTGACACAGCAAAGGTGTGTTTTTGGGTTTCGGGGCGTCTGAACGAGTAACATATCAAAATACAGTAATTCAAAACATACACTCATACACTGGATCCATACATCCCGGTCTTGTATAAATTCATGATTCATGTTGCTGTCATCTTCACGGCTTAAGCACAATTGAAGAATACCCAAAAGAAACACAACTTTCTATATGGTAAGTTCACTGGGCATAGACCCCAAACAAAGAGATCGTTGATGCTCTTTGCAGAGAGGTTTCCGAATCTTATTGCACGTTCTTTTTTCTCTGGTGCCCAACCAACTATGGTGCACCCTGCAGACCTTTCCACTTTCATACAACTACAGTACCAGGACAGAAAAGAACACGAGTGATTTGACTGCAAGACCGCAGGGCAACATCTCACTATACCACCGTGTTAGAATATCAGCACGCCGCCGTGCCAGCACCAACATATGTGCCAGCGTCAAAATAACATAAAATTACTTGTATAAATTGTACGCATTTTGAACATCTGAGCCCCCTATCGTCTTCCGTGCCTGTGCTTTCCCGAGGTGCATGTGGGCTTCCCTATCGTTCTTCATGTCGTGGCTCACTACCAGAACAAATCTCAGAGAACACATACAAACAGTCACACACGCACACCATGACATGGCTCCAGCTAGTGTGTGTGGTTGTTTGATGCCAGAAACCTGGTTTTCCCTGGCTACATTCCAAGTAGAGTGGTGGTTGGAGCCTGGCCACCATCCCTTCCATCCTAGACTGCTTGCCCAACACAAATACCTTGAGTACAGGTTGCACCGACCAAGGGAGACCTCCATTTCTCCAATACCCCTTCTCCACCCAACCACATTCCTTTTCTACCCGGAGGAATCTGAAGTGTCGGAGGCTGAGGTTGCAAACAAAGAGCCTGAACTGGCAACAGAAGCTTACTTCAACTCTTTCCGTGCTTTTGAGCGTTCCCTTTGTTTTTCGCTCCTTCTCATTCTTGTGTCAATGAGACATTGGTGATCTGGTTGGCCTGTGAACTGCTGGTCTGTTCCACCAGGTAGCAAGTTGCTCTGGGCGGATTGTCTCCTGGTGAGCGCGCTTTCATCGCTGTACCCTCGTCTGTATTCAGGTGCTGTGTCTTTGCTTGATGCAATCATGTTTTCCGCGGGGAAGCTTTGCTTGACCCGGAACAGCCGCCTGAGCTCTTCCAACCAACTTCTGTCGCTGAGACTCATCTGCCAACATCTCCTTCACAAGTAGTCTTAGAGCAGCAATCACGGCAGCAGATGTTTTTCATGGCTGCGAAGGGAGCTCTCGCAAAGGCCACGTGGGCGATGTCTCAGCAAGGATATCTGTTGGGACTTCTTGGGTATCGTTTTGGTATCGTTCGGGTATCGTTTTATTGCCGCACTTTCTGGCTGAAAATGGCATTCTTGTCGGAAGTCTTGTGTTGAGCAGCCTAACATCATCAGCTAAGTTCACGCTCAAGCTCAAAGCCACTTCAACTCGCACAGTGCGTGGCGATGAAGCAGCAGCCAATTTGTTCTAGTTCCGCGTGGCCAATCAGGCAATAAGCGCGCGGACGTAAGAATCGCTCTGTAGATTAAAATGAGTTGAAGGGTTGTGGCCACCGGCTGCGACTTATAATGTGCTCCAGTGCACCACATATGCAGGTACGTTTACCTGATCATCCAGAGTGAGCTTCGTTGGCAGAGACCACATCTGGAGATGTATTGTAAGTGAAAATCTTGCCTCATTCTTCTAAGGCATTGGCCCTGCAAGACCAATCATGCAATGAAACATGAGATGCCTAGGAAGTGGCATTGCAAGAGGTTTCGTTTTTTTATGAGTCCCCTATCGTTTTTCAAAGAAACTTCACATTCCCTTAGCCACATGAAACGCTCTTTACAAAAGTTGTCTTCGATAATTTTGAGGTTGACTCATATGGCCTTATCAATGCACCACGCCAACGTGCCATAATACCAATAAAGTATGATGGGGGACAACCTGGAGACAAAAAGGTCCTAGACAGCCAAGCCGCGGCTACACCGGTCCCACCAGACATGATGGAAGAAAAGCTGAGGGACCAGTTTCGAAACATCGAGTTTGAGACAAATGGTCATTTTCCACCACAGAATCCAAAAGAATTAGGAACCCCTATAGCGCCCAGCTATCTGGGGAATATCAGCCTGCCTGCCTGTTCCAATGCATTGATGCAATGACCATGATGGCCATGTGAGCACACTTGAGCACACCTCTTTACATGCTGTTGCATACTCCCCTCAACAGCCTAGCACAGGACGTGTCAACCTTGCTCTTAAAGGATTTGGCATGGAATCTGAGCAGCACCAAGTCACTAAGTACATGCCTCCACTGCATGTTCTGCGTCGATCCGGCACAAACTCCGCTCGGCTTTTTATCCGCTAATGGGTTCGCCAGGATTGCTATGCCTAGACTAACCGGAGGCCTGGCACAGCCTCTGAGTCCCTTCAATTGCTCGTCATTGCAATGAAGGAGTAGGAGCTGCGTACGACTGAAACAGTCTTTCTATAATTTTCTATCTAGGGGTGTTGAGTGTGGATTGCATGGCTGCAAACTGTGTAATGTGTTCAAAACAGTGAAAGACAAAGTCCTCAGAAGAGCGGTTTGATCTCCGTGTTGAACTTGCCTCAACATCCATGCCCATGATTGAAAGCAGGCGGGTGTGATGAACACTACATCTGCCCCCTTCAGTGCTTTAAGAAAGCCTGCTTGCTACAATTGGTGAGGTCAATGCCAGCTAGCCAAGAGACTCTCCTCATAGGATGTCATTGAGATCTGCCTGGCAACAGTCTATGTTAAATCAGTTAAATCTGATGGGTCTAGGCATGTCGAGCGACCCGCCTGCCATCGTACTTCCGATGGCCCATGGCTCTCATGACCTTCGTGGCTTCGTCTGTTGTGGCACACTGCAGGTAGACATCACCTTGGGTTTCGACATCACCTACTCGCGTCGCCAAGAATTTACTTCGCGAATCTTTGCGAACAAAGATCGAATCAATGAAAGCGCTGCTTTTCTTCAACAAGCGGCCTGGCTTCAAGGTCGCGTTGCCCTTTGCATGCTCAGGCTTCACAATAGCTACCTCATTAGAGTACAATCAACATACCCAAGGCACTGCGAATTGTGGATCAATCAAAGCTTGAGACAAATCATGACAAGTCAAATAACCACCTTTGTTTGGAAAGCGGGCGCTTCCACAATACTTGCTATTAGGACTGAAGCTTGCAACTGTCAGAAATCTACATGTGTTTATTCAACCAGTCATGCGAGTGATTCAGTGATCATTTGTCTTGCCATGCCGTGCATGTAAACAACGCCTCAAATAACCACCGTGTGCCAAGGGACCATAACAAGCTTGCCATGGGCTCCACAACCTTCCTGCATGTCTTCCTTTACATCGTTGAAATCATCCTCGTCAGAAGAACACAAAGGCCTATTTTGCTCCACAGTCTTTCAATTCATGGAAACTCGTCGACTTGCACGTTATCAGGCATGTGACATGTGAATGTTGAACCAGTATGTGTAATGTGTTCAAACAGTCTAGATGTGTTTTGTTAAGTATCACAACATATCACAACCATGCTGCAGTACGCTGCAGCACTCCACAGTCCTCCGTGGTCTTCTCATCTACCTTCAAGATTTCGTCAATTCTGATGATCGGGCTGGTGGCACTCACCTGCCCGGATCATCTCTGTGCGTGCATTGTTGGAGAAGTATGAAAGGGACTTGTGAAAGGCACTTGTGAAAGGCTTTTAGAAGAACAGAAAGCACCGGACTATAAACGTATGTGCTTATAAAAATATATTATATGAGCCAGTGTCTAAATGATTGGCTTGGGCTGTATTCATAAGTAAATTAGGGCGTCCCCTATCGTTTTGACTTTGGGGTGGGTATCGTTTTTAGGGCGTCCCCCATCGTTTTTAGGGTGGGGCTATAAAAACCCAATACTGACGAAACGTTCCATATAAAATGCCTTTACGATAGATTAGACTACAACTCATATCTTTAACTTTCGAGCGCTCAATAAAAGAATGCGTAGAACGGACACGTTACTGTCAGGACTTGAAGAATCTTCTCATACAATATCGAGTTGCCTGTGCGGATGGCAGCGCCAGCATGCCACCCTGGCCTCAGATCCGAGTTCAGTCGAAGTTGTCAATCTTTCATACTTCAAAGATCTTCAAAAATTTCAGAGCGTGGCCTGGCATCTGCATACCCACAGGCACACCACCAATCATGCCAAGAGGACTCACCTCGAGAACGCAGGAAGTAACTTTGACTTTGAGGACGGGTTTAAAATAAGCACAGCCACTTTGAATATCTCTGAGTACTCCAAGTTGCTGCGTCATTGGGCCGCTTGATGGAAACTGGAACACCTGCATGTAAATCATGTATTAAAAGCAAGCAAATTGAACGGGAGTCTGCTGCTCGAGAACCGTAAAACATCTATAAATGCATCCCACTTTGGTACAGCTTGGCATCCAAAGCCCACATTCCTCCTGTGGTCCCAGGCTGGCTTGACGGGAATTAAGGAATATTAGTAAGGACTCTCAATGGCCGAAAGGACTGAATTTGGGACGGAGAAAAGGGCTGCTGTTTGACTCCTTTGCTTCTCCGGTCACTCGCTTTTCAACCACTAGACCCCTACTAGGCCCCAATCATCCTAGTCTTTCCTAGATATCTAGGTCTACCTAGAAATCCTCTCCCATTCTGTGCCTAGGACCAGCATGCCATCCAGCTGCAAGGCGCGCTCGGTCTCCTCCGGTCGCACGTTGTGCCATGAGCAAGTTTCCAATCAATAACCAAAGCAATGAACAAAATGATGAATGATGCAATCACATTGAGTGAATAGTTTGCAAGTTTACAAGCTTTGTGTACACATTGAGGTCTGTCCAGGTGCAGTCTACACTGAGGTGTGAAATCTCCTCTTGCGAGGCAATCTCGCAAAAGCCATAGTTGGCACCTTTATCTCGCGCAAACCACACATGGAGCACCTCACAGGCAGGTTCGTAAGGGCGCTTTGTTGGGTGAAAGCTGGGGCCCAAACAGGATTTTGGTTTGGATCGTTGCACATACTGCGGTCACGCATCGTCTCGTAAAGCTGCTTCGAGAAAGAATCCTGACCATGAAAAGTGAAAGGCGATGAACCTCACTCCTGGGAATTCAACTTGCGTCAGCAGATTCGGGACAATAAACATGTCATCACGAGCTGCCTCTGTGACTCCAAGATGATACGGCAAATTGCCTTATCAAAGGTGTGACATAAGGCATCCCAACACAAGCTTGCACCATTGGTCCGAGGCTGATCGAGACTCAAAATGCTCAGTTCTGGACCTAAATAGAGCCGCCGATTCTTTCGGGACGCATTGATGTCGTTGGTGATGCCTCCGAATGCAGTCCATACGTTGCAACAATACATCTACGAAGATCATCCGAATGCCGCCAGCTGGGAGCCCCAAAAAGGCGTCTGCCCAAACTGTTTCCAGCCCAGTGAACAATTGTGATGTGGTCAGTGAACGGTGAAAGCGGTGTACTCAAAAGGCTCCGCTACTTGTTGATGCTGTTGCAAGGAAAAGTAGCAGCAAAGCAACAAAACTGCACCTGTGTCTGCGCGAGGCACCCACTGGAAACCATCCCAGAACATACCTGAGTCGACCCAATACCCACTTCCGTGGAATACTGTTTCGACGACTGCTGACAGGTTGTCAATCAAAGATGTGCATATATATAATATATAGTATATATACACAATTACAGTGATTGTGTTCACCACAATAAACCCCGGGCCAATTACTAACCTGACTCCTCTCCCGCCAAAAATCTACCAATACTCGTGCAATGGAAATCTAAAAACACAACACTAATAACCCTAAGTTCTTGCCCTTAAGCAACTAAAAAACCGCAATATTCGCCTAAACTTGATCCAGTACTCGCGCAATTTGATCCGTCACTGAGAAAGTCAATCATAAACCTCCTGCCCCTTTATTTAAAGATCCACAATACTAGTGTAATTTGATCTTAACAAACACCATCAAATACCAATACAGTACTCGTCTAATTTGGTTTTAGAAAAACATAGAAAAACTGTTGAAGAATGTAAAAAACTTTTCTGTATTTGAACCCATACAAAACAACACTTCCTTTGTCCAGTAGGTTGCAAAATTAAACTTGACCTGCTGGTCTACAGTGATAAACCGGCTTTTCATTTTTTATGGGTTAGGAGGTTACAAATGTGAACTTGACTCACATACTGTTCTATAATAATACACCTGCTCTTCAACCCAATTACAAGGCCCGATTAAGGTCAGTTATTGCGGGAAAGTACATTATTGCAACAAAGTAATCTTTGTCCGCCAGGCTTACTAAGGGGGTGGGACAGTGAAGATTATATATGTAGTTGGACCACGACCCCGGGTAGGCCGTGTTTTCTTTGCGATTTTTACAGTACTTGTTCGACGTTTTTTTGCATCCCAGCTCCAGGTCTTCGTTGCATTGCACAACAATAAAACATATCTCAGACTGCACATAACATTGTGCTAGCTCCTCGCATGTGAATCGGAGTCACCAAATGTTTGCTATGTTGCACTCTAAATTGTACCCTTGGGTGGAGAATTTCAACGTTTTTGCGCCAAGTTGATGCTACGTTGGGTTATGGGTTGGAAGTTCTCTGATGTCTGTAAACTTGCTTACTTGCAACAACAACACGTACGACATGGACAGTTGCTGACGGTCAGAGCTGCAAATTGTTGGGGTGGGGGGTGGGGGGTGGTGGAGGTGGGGCCAACATAATGACGTCGGTGGGGCCAACATAATGAACGAGCTGTGCAAAGTCGCTAAGCAGAGCCGGTGAGTGCAAAAAAAAGTAGTTTTGTGATTTCGCAAACCGTGGAATTTGCAGTTGCATCTTTGAGAATGATAGTGGCGCTACGGCGCCGTGCGCATGTTCAATTAGATGGTCCTCACGAAACGCCACGGCCTACCGGGGGTCGTGCACCATGTAGTTGGTGTCTACTACAAGGCAAACTGCGACACGAATCAAGAACTATCTTGGCTCATCAGCACCTAGCATTGATTCTCTTTGTCTGCTGTCAAGAGTCTTTGGCCGCCCACTCCACCTTCTCCCGCCTGCCGTGAGGGTGACAAGGGGTGACTTCTCTGAGTGATGCCGGTAGAATGTATCATTGGTATGATTTGGTTACCGCCATACTGAAATAGGACTGTACTTGCAAGTGGCTGCTTTTCAGGACTTGTGACTTGCCACTGGCCTTTCTGTTTTTATTCACGACTTGCTGCTGCTGCTTTCGTCGTCGCTTCTCGCGCCTCAGGAATTCAATGATTCTCCTTTCGCAACCAAGTTTGGGTGGGTTTTTGGTGGAACCGCCAAACAGTTTGGCAGTCGACAAGCTAGATGAAGCTTGGCAATAAAGAAACGCATTTGTCAATGTCCAACTTCTCACTTCTGACGCACATCGTTGCAATCTCCAGAATCATTTTTGCAACTTTTTCAGCGCGCTTCTGTTCGTGGTCCCAATGTGCACAAGGCTGCTGTACTACTGCATCACTTGAAGGAAGCATAGATCGGGCCACAGCTCGTTGCAGTGGCTAGCACTCAAGGTATGTGGCTGCTATGAAAATGGGATCAAACAATTGTATGCTGCGTCTATCGCAATGGATTTAAGCGGTTCGAACCATTCAGAATCAATGTCTACTAGCCGCTCTTGAGTGCGAGCATGCACAGCCCTGTATGATCTGCGCGCTTTCTCAGTAGGCAACGGATGTCGAAAACTCTTTTGCTCAAGTTGTGTTTTTCCTTTTTTTCATGTGCACGTTTGCCAAACCTACTCGGCCAACCAGCCTACCGATCTATTCAGCAGCCAGAATGCCTTGAGCTCTTGCGGGCTTTCGGGCCTCAACAAGTTGAAGCGATGAACCGAGTTTGAAACAAAGAAGATTACTAAGATTACTATTGTTTTTAAAGGCCGCTAGGAGGCTAGGTAGCTAGTAGGGAGAGGTAGCTACTACCTTGGACGCAGGATAGCTTGCGCTAATGATTTGGTTTCTGGATTTTTGGGGAAACTTAACCTTTGGTCAACATCGCATTCTTCTAACTGACCTCTGCGATTTCGCTGCTGCTGAGCTCCTTGCCCGCAACTCCTTCCGTGCCTTGCACTTCCCACGAACCCAACTCAGAAAGGAGTATACAGGCAAACCAAGTGCACACCGGACACTGAATGATACATGAATCTTCATACATGCAGCTACCTGCAGCCAAATGGAGCTTGGTGAACCTGCCTGTTTGGGTGCTGCAAGCAAAGAAGAAGCCAAAGAGTCCGCTGCAGAGACCTGCCGCAGGCTCGTCGGCTCTACCGAAGCAACTCAATTTGATGAAACATCAATCAGTGTTGTGTTCAATTCTATACAAAATGGACGTGATATGAAATGACTGAACAGTAACACGTGACAGCTGGATGAGAAAGTAAGACTCTCTTGTGCATCTTAATGCAATTTGTACCTGCTTCTCCTTCAGTGTGTGGTTGGCAGGAGCTGTTGGCGTTGAAGATATGGAAGTAGCCGAAGTGCTTGGCATCTGGGCAAGTGCATGCATCAAACAACGTATGCAAGAGAATGGAAGTTAAATTTCCCTAAACATCTAGGAACCAAATCATTAGTACGAGCGCTTCTTCAAGTGAGCTATCCTGCATCCAGATACTAGAAACTTAAGAAGCTAGGAGCTTACTCCCTTATACAATTAAGTGGGGGTCTGCAAACATAATACTATATTTAAAAAAAGAAACACCAGTATGCCACGGCTTTTTTGCAAAAATTGCACGGCACCTCAAAGGTCTGGTTCACCAGTCGGAGGGATTCGGCATGTTGTGCCTTCATCCAATGCTCATATCCAACGGTCAAACGGTCATATCTTCATGCAGGATGCACATAAAAAAAGCAAATCGATGAACCGACTAAGTTTGAAGCAAAAACAAAAAGCACAGCAGCATATCCAAGTATATCATAGTATCACATTCAGCGACAAACTCTGTCGAAAGCCGCAACTTTGCCTTGAATGGCTTCACCTGAGCGACTGGTAGCAAAGACCACGGCAGGGGGAAGCGGAAGAGCTGCGGCAAATGAGGCTCCTGAATGCTGGCTATAGCGACACTCTTGGCCAATCCAAAATGCCCTGCTTGCTGCTTGGAGGCTCTTCTTTAGTACACTCTACCTCTTCACACCTCTTCATGCACCTTGGTTCTGTGCCATCAGGCACTACGGACCCTTTGTACTTTGAATCACTTACACCCCCCTTCACCTTGCAGACTATTGTAAGGTACAGTCAGTACATCCAAATTGTCCCTTCTGACAGTGTGCGGTCCTCAGAAAGGAGGTAGAGGCTGCCACCAGCACTGCACATGCCTGAGGAAAGAGGACAGAATGAAAGAACAATTCCCCAAATCATGAGAACCCTTTGTTGCATCTGTTGAACTCGCTATTGCTCCAGTTTCCAGACAAACTAAAGAAATCCATATGGCTGTGCGTCAAACCTCATCAAGACTCTGTAACCCTGGTTGAACCCTGAAAATGAACAGATTCCTATAAGGGGTGTGAACCTTCGATGGTTTGTACTGTTGACTGTAGGGGGAGGTTTTGACTCACGCCCATGTGATTGTTGAAGCAGAATGATGCCAGGACTCTACATAATATGACTTATCCAACATTTGCAACTCTACATGAAAAGCCCAGCCTGTCCACCGCTTCTGCAAAGGCAGGGGCCAACGGCCGATCAACTTGCCTCCCAAACAATCCCACGACTTGACAGGATGAAGGGTCCCAAGAGCCGCCAAAAGTTAGTGGATCTCCACTGTCTTAACCGATCGACACAACTTTCTAAGCCTGAGCTGCTAGAGGTCTAAAGCCAAACCGCCAACCTCTCAACCTTGTCTGACTCGACCGCTATTTGGCGCCTGAATTCTGGACATCAAAAGCTCGGAGTTCAGCGCCATCAGCGCCCAGCATCCCCAAGTATCGGTCGCCCAAAATATGCAAATCACCACCTCTGCTTGCGATTGAAAGAGCTACGTCGAAAATCAGGAAATGATCTGCAATACAAGACAATTTAAATGTAGAGTCTTGCGTGTACCTATATATATATACACATGATGGCTACATGGAACCATATGAAGGAATGGCGGATGGTCAAAGTTAACTGTTCCCTGCTGAGTGTAGTTGCCCATGTCCTTCCCCAGCTGACCAACAAGTCAACAATGAACTTCCTCATGTCGAGGCCTGTGCACAGTTCTCAGTGACCAACCCCGGGCCTCTGCGCATTGCTTTGTGAGTGTCAGCCATCAGCACCCGTGTTGGGAGCCAATCTGGCCGACCCGAACCTGACCAATTTGACTATCTTTGTTGACGTTGGAGCTGCAACATCTGTGCCAAAGCTTTCGGCAAAGGCGTTATTTATTCACCTGCTCTGCCTCTAGGGCATAGACTTGTGATGTGCTAAAGGCCTCAAACATTGCCCAGCAAAGGGTGTGACAGTGTGACCCAAATAGATCCGAGATTTATATGTACCATGAATTACCATGATGTACCAATCAAGCTAAACACTTATATAATTACCATACGTCAACCTTCACGTTAACAATTCGTGTTTGGGAGAAGCAAGCAACACCTCCCCGGCCTCCAAGGCCAGACTTCAACTCTACTAGTCGGCCACTGGTGGTCTCTGCGTAGGCACAATGCTGAGTACCTTCATGAAACAGTCCACAGTTGAGCAGTCAAAATTGCATTAGATAGATAAGAATCAGTCACACAAGCATGTTCTTATCTAGCGAACTAGAAAGTACGTTATCGTCTTGCTGCAAACACAAAGTAATTACAAACATGAACCATTTGTCTCAAAAGGGCACCCTATCCTTTTGCAAGTTGCCCCGAAGTCATTTAGGGTACAGTATGTTCCTCTTGGAACCTCCCCCTGCAACCTGCCGCTTTTAGAGCCTCCCGGAACCCGCCAAATATACCCAAAAGAGTTCTTGGCTGAAGACCCCAAAGCATTCTGCTATTGACAACGATGAATACTTGAGCAATCCACACCAACCACGTGTTCACTTCTGACAACCTTTTGCCTTCCATGTTGATAAACCAGCGAGTTGCAAAAAATGAGTAAGGCACTTGGTTGTTACACTATGAGATTCCCATACAATTTGACTTCGGTGTGCATATCGTGATATATGTTGCAACTCGTTTCCCTTGATCTTGCTTACAAAACATTACACATACCATACCCACGACAGATGACAGGCACCAATCTCTAAAGTGACAGCGGAAAAGCCTGATTCGATGGCCTCCAACCTACTAGCGACAGCCTCCAACCTACTAGCGACGGCCTCCAACCTACGAGCGATGGCCTCCAACCTAATAGGGATGGCCTCCAACCTACGAGCGATGGCCTCCACCAACCTACTAGCGATGGCCTCCACCAACCTACTAGCGATGGCTTCCAACCTACTGACCTACTAGCGATGG